AAGGTTGTTATTTGTAGTGTTTAATGCATATTTTTAATTTTTTACATAGTTGGTTAACAGTGATTGATAATAAATGTTAAACCTGGTACATACTTACTAAACTATATCGGAACAAAGAAATAAAATCTATCAAGACAAATGCCAATGTAGTAGACAGTAATAACATTATCAATGTTAGCAGTAAAGATTTGATATGGACACCAAGATGTAAATAGACAGGATGAATTTATCTAGTAGAAAAAAATGTAAGAGTGAATATATATCTGAGCTTTTTGCTATTGATTCTAAGCCAGATCATCGATCTGCAGCGAACACACCTTAGTCTGGTAGCTAATGGCTTCATAGAAGAATAATAGTTATTGGCTGATTCTAACTTTCAACCTACTCCTACATCAGTAAACAATTACGCATCCAGTTAGGTTGTTGATTGGCATAAGTAATTCATGTTCTAAGCACGTCAGTCTAATATATACAGCCTCATCATTCAATTTTCGATGTTTGCCCAGTATTCTGAGTATAACTTCAGTATTGCCTTACTCAGTGGTCTTCACATATGGCAACAGTTCGGTCAACAAATAGCTACAATTATATACATCAACAAGGACCTCATTCCTACAATTGGAGAACATATGGAACTGAAAACAACTGTCAACCAATATCAAAGTTAGAGTCTTTAATACGGACATCAAGGCAACTCTGCTGTACGGAGCTGAAACTTCGAGAACTACCACAACCATCATCAATAATGTACAAGTATTTATAAGCAATTATCTACGTAAGATACTGAATGCCCGTTAGCTGGATACCATCATCAACAATCTACTGCGGGATAGAATAAACCAGCTTCAAGATGAGGAAATGATGATGACACTGGGAGTGGATAGGACGTACATTGAGGAAATAATCAAACTGTATCACGAGTCAAGCGCTCACAGCGAATCCTGAAGAGGGACGGTAAAAAGGAAGGCCGAGGAGCACACTGCGTCGAGAATTTGTAGCAGACATGAAAAGAATGGATAGAAACTGTAAACAGTTGGAAGGGATTGCCCAGTGCACAGTTTTGTGTAGAATGTCGGTAGGTGGCCTACTCTACACTGCGAGGGTTAACAGGAGTAAGTTGTATATATATATATATATATATATCAGCAATGATAATGTTAAAAATAATACTTTGTTTGTACTATCATTTTCTTTTACCGATTTAGGAAATTCTTGTTCAATGTTGGGCATACAGTCCATGTAAACGACCCGAATTTACAACTCTAGTTAAATTATTAGATCGTCTACCAAAATTACATCGTAGTCCATCTTATCCAGCTAAACCATACACTGGTGTAGCATCTGGTTCACATGGTAGTCTTCTAGCTTAATAATGATGATGAATAAACCAGCCCTGGGGATCGAATCGTTAACATACAGCACAATACAACATTGTCTATCATCTGGGATTTCTATTTGTTATGATGGAAAACCAAAATATCTTCAGCTTTATAATAATAATAATAATGGGGAAGCTTACAGTTTTTTCTTTGAGTTCATCATGGTTACTGCACTGTAGTACTAGTTGGATGTAATTCTTCGGAGTACCTTGCTATGTAAGTGACCTAAACAATCAAGTACTTTCTTGTCCACCGGAATGTTTGTCTTAAGAGAAGCATATATATATATATATATATATATATATATATATATATATATATATATATATATATATATATATATATATATATATGTATATATATATAGTACCTATGTTATTCTAAGCGCTATTTACTTGTGATCATATTTGCCTCGCACTCGACAACGCATTCTTCATTGTTTACTGTTTGTTTTTCGATCAAACATGAAGCATGTTTTTTTATGCCTGTTCATGAATAAAACTAATGTTTTTATCACAACAAATTTCATATGTAATATGAGAATTCTTATGTTTGAGCGTACACTTATATCAACTGTCTCACTCTATAGTGTTTGACAACCATTCACATAATGCATATTCTTTCTTTCCTATGGTTCCAATTATTTGTTTAATTTATTTAACTAGTCTTTCATATCATGAATACACAATAGAATAAACCATATGTTGTGGAGAACAGAACAAAATGTGTATGCGTGCAGGTAGATAAACTTCAATTGCCTAATCTAATCCATTATTATTATTTGTTAATAATTCACTATTCAATGGGTTATCAATGATTTACACATATACCTTTTTCCTCTATTTGTTCATATTGTAAATGTATTTGTACCTTATTTACTAATAATTATGTTTTTTTTTCTTTTTTTGTACATGATTGTAAATGATAAATTACAATTTATTATTTATATATTAACTAATAATTATAATCTTTCTAGTTAACTTTGTACAAATATTTCTCTTGTTTTACTGAAATGTAAAAAGAATAAGAAACAAATTCAACTGTGGTGTATTGATGCCTTTTTCTTCTCCCTCTCTCTCTTATTCACTGCTCTACGTTAATGTTCATGTTAGAGAGAACGTGAATAGTGTAACAAATGCGTTGATACGGCCAAGAGTGGAGAGAGTCAGCTCTCCCTCGAAAAATGCTCATATGGCCACGTGTATACAACCACCGACAGGGAAGTCCTACTCACTGCATTCTCGTGGCGGGGGTGTTGTTTACGAAATTGAGAGAACGAAAAGCGAATGTCTGGCGCTTTGACCAGGTTGATGAAAACAGAGGGTTCACCTGGGGGAGTTCGACAAACTAATCCCAATGCAATGGTGCACATGGGCTATGGAATTCTAAGGAACCAATGGCATATGAACCAATTGTTGGTCATCGGCTACCATGGATTACATCTCCTGACGTTGCTCCACTACCTTGTGGATCAGACCTTCGTGTGTTGACCCATAAGTAAGCCATCTGCTTAGGTTTCGGCACCCAGGCAATATCCCAACCCTCACATAAATCGAATGATTTATGTGCGCATACCTATTTCGTGCCTTCCTGTACTAATGTTTATGTGTTTGAATATTACTACTAATAATAAAACGTTTTTATTGAGTAGTAAAGAATCCATCTTTGACATCTTGAAAGAGTTAGGTTACTTTAGCAGCGATTACATATTCTCTTATATGGTTTAGTACAAAAGTCTGGAAAATATACAGTGCTTATGTCTCATATTGTAAAACTCAGTGACACTCGATTAAATCTTTCAGTGAACATCAGTCCCCTCAAGATTGTGGCTACGCTCTGCTGATGAGTGCTAACAAGAACGAAACTTTGGTCCAGGGTTTCTTGTTAACTGCCACCAACTATCTCAAGTCTCAACATAGTGTACACGGTGTTGAGTTGTCTAAATCAATAGACATATTTCAACTTAATTGATAGAATTTGGTCAGCATTGAAGAAACACGTCTTAGTAACTAATTAGTTATAAACTTTCTTGGTCAGTATAACATTTACAACAGGGGACATAAAGGAATGAGTGCCAGAGGTGTTTTCTCCAAGATGATTGGTTGAACGACGTATCTAATTTCTGAGTTTTCATCCCACGAAAAAAAAATGCTTCTTTCCTAAACTAAAGTTAACGCATATCAGAGATAAAACTGAAGAAACTTGTCGCGAAATTCATATTCACTGCTTAATAACTAAATTGTAAGAATAGTTTTTTGCCTATTATAGCCACTTACAGCATATCGTACGAAATATAATGAAATCTTGAGTTGGACTACCTTAGACTCAGTTTCATATTGCAACTAGATAGTATATAACATTTCCCAAGGTTTGATCTGTGATTTCTAGTCTTTCTCATATTGAGATTGTGAAAGGACTAGTTTCACCATCATTGTCGTCATTTACCTTAGCAGATTCGTGTAGGTCATATAATTATAAGAGAAGTTGAAAGGGTATTATGGAAGTTAATTTGATTTGTAGGCTAGATTCGTCATATATTGGTTAAAATTGAAAATGAAGTACACGACTGTGCAGTAGTAGTGTGTACCCAATAGCTTTAGGTATTATGACCATCGAATACCATTATAACCTCTGGATCAGTGTTGAATGATGTAGTTTCGATTTCAGTCAATTGACGATATGGCGCAAAGATTATGTAGTACCATTAGTGATACCTATTATACTCCTGACATATCTGAACTCCATCAGTTAATTATTTTCATTAGAACTTCAAAAATATTTCGAACTAAGACACTATTGTGATCTGATTATCATAGTTTAGTCAAAAGAATGTTGTGCAGATAGGTTTAAACTGTTACAAACTAATCTCAAATTAATTAAAGTTGAAATTGTACTGTAAGTAGCCAATGATTGCCACACCCCCCCTTCCAGCCAAACAAGTTGATGAAGCCTAGTAGGCCCTTCTGGAAAGAAACAAGCCACATCGAAGCACTACCAAGGCTAGAATAACTGCTTTTTCAACCAGTTGGAGTTTGCCCCATGAGGAGAAATCCCGTACAATACATGTACTACTTTTTTCGTTTTTCCATCCAAGAGTAATTGTGCTGTGTTTCTTTGTGGAGTTCGTAGTCGATTTGAGCGTATCGATCGAGTGGGTGATTAACCCGATCTCTACCACCCGGGGTTACCTCTCATATCAGTTCATGGGTCATCTATCCCACTATCCAGGAGTCACGTTGCGGACATGTGAGTCGGATTTTGCTTTCCCATTTTAATGGTTAAGCATTTATTAAGAGATTTCAAGGTTTTGATTTAGACTTATCGACAACGTAGTGATTACACATAAGCACAAAATCTCATATTAGGACAAAAGAGTTATTCAACCTTTTTTTTCACTACAATCTAAGATCATTCTATGATGAATACAACTGTTTCCAACATTTTTAAACGACTAACAAATTATAGCGCGCGAAACCAATAGGTCCTGAGTCCGAATCTCGCAGGGGGCAAGGTCGTGGATGCGCACTGCTGAGGAGTCCCACAATAGGACGAAACGGCAATCCAATGCTTTAAGGTTTTCCATGGTGGTCTAGCTTCAACTGACTCATGATCTTAACCATTGTAAATACAATTTGTTTAATAAATGTATATACAATATCAACCAAAAAAGGCCAAGTTTACAAAATCAATTTGACCAAATTATAATAAATAATAATAATAAAAATTCCAAATTAAAGAAGAGACAACCAAATAACCGGCATCAAGTTTTAAAATCATTGAGAGCACAAAAGAATAGAAAGACAAATTACGTAATCTTGCACACACACAAGTATGTGCACAGGCCTGTCTGTATACTAATCATAATATGAAGGGGTATAATGTAATGAACCCATTATGTGCATGTGTGTGTGTGTTAGATAAACATGTGGTGCAGAATGAAGTGTGATAGACATACATATATCTATACATGTTTCTAGATAAATATCTATTGCCAAATTGATAATTCATTATCATAATTCACTTGATTTTCATAATATAATTTAGATAAATTTTCAATGGCTATATGACCGCATAGAGCACAATCATTAGCAATGATTTCATCAAATAGATCCTGAATAAATAAAAAGAAAACAACCGAAATAAGGATAAAACATTTAATTCATTTGGATTAGTTGTTTCAATATTCCTATGGATATGTTACGACTGTAATAGATCAGTCTCTTTTGTGTATATGTGTACTGTGTGTAGATTGCCTCGATATTGCTGCCTCCAAATGCCGAGAATGGGGCGAGTCAACTCTCTCATATGGACACGCGTATACAGTCCCCGCCATGAACATTCTAGTAGTAGGAGTGTTGTTTACAAAGCTGAGAGGATGAAAAGCGAATGTCTGACACTTAAATCGGGTCGGTGAACACATATAGTCCACCTAGGGTTATTGGAAAACCACAATTCCAAATTAATGATGCAAATGGGCTCCAGGATCCTGAGCGAACAAAAGGTGTATGAACCTATTGTTGGTCACCGGCTACCATGGGATTGCCTCTCATGACGTTGTTCCACCGCCTTGTGGATTGGACCTCCAAGTCAGAGGTTCGGAAAGTGGTTCCCTAAGAAAATCACTTGCTTCGGTTTGCGCGCTCTGGCACTATCCCAGTCCTCACACAAACCAATGATAACTGCAACTTGCCTCATTGTTATAGTGTGGTGCATATGTATTGGGTGCCCATTGTACCAACGTTTTTATGTGTTCAGATAAATAAATAAATATTTCAAGGAGGGATGGATGGTAGTTAGCAATATGACCTGGAACGTGCGTTTCGTTCAACTTGAGTGAGGCCCTAGAGTTGATATCCATTCCAGGATAGGAATCCAGAACTATTGGCTATCGCGTTACATACTTAGCTAATGAGTTCAGATTGTGTCATTACTATATTGAAGTGAGTGAAAAAACCTTGTAATCAATTCGCTGTAAGTTTATCATTTTACTGTCGAGAATTTAGATGATAAATGTATAGAGACTAAGCACATAACAACAACTGACTGTAGAATATTGTCTGTGTATTATAGAGCTAGTAAATGTGGACAAAACTAGTATCCCAGTGTAGTCAACGAATAGTTTATCTTTAAAATACAATCAATCAAGGCTATTGAACATATGCATTACTGATGTATATCAATGCTTAACTAATTCCTTAATTTCCTAGTCTCCTCAACTTGATTTTCGTGCAGGTTGATACTCGTTAGCCAGGCGTACTTAAAATCGTAAGGAAACTGATAATTGCTATTGGATTTTGACTAAGGTAACTCAGTTTCACAATCTGAGACGTTATTACTGAGCTACACGGGCCACAAATGATATGTTCTAAGACTGAGATATTTACATTTATTGATCTCTGAGAATTGATTAGTATTGAGTCAGTCTATTCTTTGGTGTGGATTGCAGTTATAACTTGTTAACGTCTGTCTGTTAACTAGCATGAAACTCATGTCTAGGATTTCATACTGCCTATCCACAAGCATCCGGTATCTAAATAGCCTGCATGAGATTTGACCTCATATAGTGGTCCTACATCTGAGTCCAGTTAGATCGTATGCTTGTTGTCATCGAAATATACTTGCAACCAAGCTAGCTGATAGAATTCGATTAGCACTAAAGTCTAGATAAATATAATATTGGTCATTAATCAATGAATTGGTCTATTATTAAACTAACTAACTGTAGTCATTTACTGTAGATTGTGAGAAATTCGTGAATGATTGGGCCGATAAGAATAGATGAAGCTTTTAATCATGTCGTGGATGAACCGATCGAATCTCCAAGTAATTTTACGAAACATTTTAAGTGTTATGAGATAAAATGGGAGAATTAAGTTGCAATAAAATCAGTGCTATAACTAACTTCAACATTAGTTACAGATGGATTATTTCCAAGATTTTGAGATTCGACAACTTTTGACAATTGTGATTTTTCCTCTGCTGATAAATATGGTTTCACCTGTAAAGATAGTAAAATGGAAAAATCATATGCTTGATTTGAACAAGTGAATATGTATAGTAATAACAAGTGTATCTTATTGAATAACAACAACGAAAATGACTGCATTTCCCGTCCACTATGATGCTTCATATTTCACTGAGTCGCACAATACTATGAAGATAGTACAAGACAAGTAGTTGTTTGTTGTGCAACGAATGTGTGAGCAATATTGATGTAGACGTAGGTCTACTAGATGGAGATGGCAAATCAGTTGGTGAGGTGTTTGCCATATATATCATTTGACACCATCTACTGTCTTTAGACGTTAGTTGACATCACGTGTTAAGTTCGTCAACCAGAATTCTGATCACTATATGTTTCTACCCTGTGTCTGTCATTTCTAACAGTAGCATAGTACCCTTAACTCTGGACAATGACACGTTCGGACCGGCACAAATAACCTTGCCCAAGGTAAGCTATACTGCTATTGATAACCTATTTGCAAGTCTTTCTATTTACCAAACTTGAGTCCAAAGAAAAGTCAGCAACCAGCTTCTACTATATGTATATTTCAATCGCTCAACCCAGTCAACAATTATATCAAACATCCATTAGCTTACATGAAAGAAGTGTTAGACGGTATAGCACACCGAATAAAAAATCATAATTTAAACACAAAATCATGCCATAATTGGCGGAGAGCGAAGCAAGTAAATCACTTATTAATAATTAAGGAATGGTAAAACCTATAACAATAGTTGTTAATAGATCCACTAGAAGCTTATTATAAAGAGAATATAGAAATACAGTTATCTATTGATCATACAATAACTAACTTTTCCAATACTTGATCCATTGTGTTACCAACCACCGCCTACTTCGAAGTGTGATATTTGCTGCTGTATGAGTAAGTTGGAAGGAAATTAAGAGCAGTTAAACCAAGATGTAGCACCAGTTCATGACGTTATTTAATGTTGAACTGTCAAGTATATAGATACAAATAACCTGCTTGGTATCTGTGCGATTATTGTAACCAACGATTGAATACGTTGGATCAAGTGATTCAGAATCGTCACAATAGCGTAGATGCATATTTCTCTTTCTTTTAAATCCATACATTTTAATAGTTGTGTTATATCCGGTGAAGATTAAATAACAGGTAACTTCCGAGGACTATTCATGGAATAATATTCTATAAATATTCTTATTGTATAACTACTCAACAATTACACTATGTATATTTATATTCCTTTTATGATAAGCTTTATTTTGATCTATAATTTATTATTGTACGATTTACGGTTCTTAAGTTATGTTCAGTTTATTAACTACTGCCTCCCACATTCACAGCCACTTCTTGGGCTTATTTGTGTACAAATATTATTTCCTATTTTATGGTACGTTGCGGTCTGTATGATTGATATATAAACCAAGTATGCATGAAATAAACGATTCGATTCATATTCGGAAGCTGGTATTGTATTCTGGACTCAAGTGGAAGGGCTCGTAGGACATAGGACCAATAAAGATGCTAAACTGCCCACACCGGTTGAACGTCATTGGTTGGCCTAGTGTGAAGATTCGTATAAGTCGTACTCGGATTGGTAGATAAGTCGTGTGATAGAAAAGTCAGACATCCAAGGTCATAACAAGTTGAGATCATGATTTAATTGAAACTAGACCATCATGAAAAACCTGGAAGCACTGGACAGTTGTTTCATTCTATTGTGGGACTCTTAAACAGTACGCATCCACAACCCCACCTCGCGAGATTCGAACCCAGAACCTACATTTTATTTTATGAATACCTTATATCTTATCAAATCTAAATGTCTACATTTATCGTTTCCAACACCTCTAATACTATTACAATGTCTACTACTCTAGTATTCGTTATTTTATCGCACTGTGCTGTTCTGGTGAGTAGAAACGTGAACTGATACACATATATGCCATGTTCTACATTTCTTACGACTAATTGACGAAAGCTGAGAATGAAATATTCTCTTTCTCTTAAGTTCATTTCTTAATTAATAGAAAAAAAATGTTACATAATAAATAATACTTTATAAACGTTACTTTTATGATGATAAACAACCAACCTTTTCATAACTTACCAATTCAGTGAGACAACTTATGTGAAAATTATGACCACAAGGAAATACATAAAATGCACGTAAAGTTAAAAGGTGATTGCAATGAGTACAACGTGAATCATTCTCTATAATTTCATATCTGTAAATGCGAAAACAGAGAGAGGGAAGTGAACAATTACCGTGAAAAACAAAACAGGATATAATCAAAGTGATTATAATGACTGCAGGGATATAAAAAAATGTGATATTTAGAAATAAAACTGTTATGTACCTGAAAAAACTAACGTCTTTATCTTCAGAATGAAGTTGTGGGGATGATTAAATTTCATTAAAACCATGAACTGATCAATGTTGGACCACCATTGTAAACGTGAAAGCACTGAATGGCCAGTTCGTCCTAGTATGGGACACTCAGCAGTGCTCATTCACGTTTCCACTTGAGGAATCAAATCCAAAACGTCAGGTTTTGCGCACGAACGTTTCACCTCTAGACCAGCAAGCCAGCATCGAATGATGTTAATGCCTAACTTCAACCAACCAAAGACAGTGTGAGACCATCTTCCGATGTCTTTGAGAGGTAGCCGCTTCACATCCGATATGGTTCAAATTTAAGAGAAAATTCTGGAGTTCTAGAAAAATGCCGTGATTAGTAGAGCCAACCAGTGTCAGTTGTGAGGCAGCTACTCGTAGAAGACAATAGAGGATGGTTGCACAATGTAGTGGATTGGTTGAAGTCAGGCATTAAAATCATTTGATGCCAGATCAATGGTCTGGAGGTCAAGCGTTCACGTGCGATTACCCAAGCGGGACCGTAGATGAGCACTGTTAGGGAGTCTCATACTAGGGCAGAAAGGCCGAACAGTGCTTCCAAGTTTTTAATGATGGTTTAACTTATATCGGCGCATGATATTAATGAAATACGTACATATGTCCATAATGTCGAGGAAAGGGAAGGGTACTACGTTTGAAGAGCGAACTGACTGATGCGAATACAAAATCTTATTCATTGATCCACTTACTATATGTGTTATATATATAACTACATGATAAGTCGCGTAGGTTGAACGCTATATACGGTTCCGATGTCTTTGAGAGGTAGCCGCTTCACATCCGATATGGTTCAAATTTAAGAGAAAATTCTGGAGTTCTAGAAAAATGCCGTGATTAGTAGAGCCAACCAGTGTCAGTTGTGAGGCAGCTACTCGTAGAAGACAATAGAGGATGGTTGCACAATGTAGTGGATTGGTTGAAGTCAGGCATTAAAATCATTTGATGCCAGATCAATGGTCTGGAGGTCAAGCGTTCACGTGCGATTACCCAAGCGGGACCGTAGATGAGCACTGTTAGGGAGTCTCATACTAGGGCAGAAAGGCCGAACAGTGCTTCCAAGTTTTTAATGATGGTTTAACTTATATCGGCGCATGATATTAATGAAATACGTACATATGTCCATAATGTCGAGGAAAGGGAAGGGTACTACGTTTGAAGAGCGAACTGACTGATGCGAATACAAAATCTTATTCATTGATCCACTTACTATATGTGTTATATATATAACTACATGATAAGTCGCGTAGGTTGAACGCTATATACGGTTCCGATGTCTTTGAGAGGTAGCCGCTTCACATCCGATATGGTTCAAATTTAAGAGAAAATTCTGGAGTTCTAGAAAAATGCCGTGATTAGTAGAGCCAACCAGTGTCAGTTGTGAGGCAGCTACTCGTAGAAGACAATAGAGGATGGTTGCACAATGTAGTGGATTGGTTGAAGTCAGGCATTAAAATCATTTGATGCCAGATCAATGGTCTGGAGGTCAAGCGTTCACGTGCGATTACCCAAGCGGGACCGTAGATGAGCACTGTTAGGGAGTCTCATACTAGGGCAGAAAGGCCGAACAGTGCTTCCAAGTTTTTAATGATGGTTTAACTTATATCGGCGCATGATATTAATGAAATACGTACATATGTCCATAATGTCGAGGAAAGGGAAGGGTACTACGTTTGAAGAGCGAACTGACTGATGCGAATACAAAATCTTATTCATTGATCCACTTACTATATGTGTTATATATATAACTACATGATAAGTCGCGTAGGTTGAACGCTATATACGGTTCCTAAGCTATTTCGGTAACCCGCAGTCTAGAACTACACAGCGACTTGAACACCAGAGAGAAGACACAAGAATGAGAGAAAGCACTTTATTCCAAGGTTCATTTTTGTACAGAAAATCATGGGTATTTATAGATTTTGGGATCTGTTAAATCAACATCATTTTACAGCCAATCCGATAACAACACATTATGCTACCGACCAATAGTAGCACGCCACGTTGGAATTCTAGAACGTTCCATCACACTCTGATTGGCCAGGACTCTTCGGCTCCTTGTGAGCCTCTGGAGGCTCCGTTGAAGTTCTCCGGAAGCCGACACAACACCTCCCACGAATAAGATTTCTTTCTGGGATCCACTTGTAGTTTGGTAACTGGATTGCGTCAGCGTCCCATTATTCTTGTCGTCTTCCTTGTCTAAGGCTTCTTTTCAGTGTTCCTGGGCGTTTGTGGCATTGGCGCGTCTAAGATTAAATCTAACGGGAAAATCGGCCGGTCCCTTCGAGTCTGCACCGTTCTTTTGTCCTTAAGGATTTGATTTGTGTGGCGTATACATGTCCCAAAAGCTCCTCGAACTTTGAACAGTACTCTTCCCAGTTTTTGCACCACTTCGCCCGGCTCCCATCGGTTCTTCCCGATGTAGGATTTAATGTAAACTTTGTCGCCAACACTGAAGTTCCGGATACTTGGATCGTGACTACGCTCATCCACTAGTTTGGATGGCAACATGGCATCGAAGACTGTTCGAATACGCCTTCCAAACATGGCTTCCGCGGGAGATTTGCCGTCTTGAACATTTGGGTTTGGGGTGGATCTGTATGATGTTAAAAATTTTGTGATCACCTGACGAGTCGACCCTTCTCCTCCTCCTTTTAGTAATGCTCGTTTAAAAGTGTCTACAAAGCGCTCTCCTTGTCCGTTTGATTGTGGATGATAGGGTGGAGAACGAAGATGAGTTATTCCGTTCGTTCTACAGAAATGTTTAAACGATTCTGCGGCAAATTGAGAGCCGTTATCTGTCACTAAGGTCTCTGGTACTCTGAAACAGCTAAATAGGGTAGACAACTTGTGGATCGTTTCTGACGTTGTACAATTTGGCATGATATATACTTCCGGCCATTTAGTGAATGCATCTATGATAATTAGAAACATTTTCCCTTGGATTGGACCGGCAAAATCTGCGTGAAGTCTTACCCAGGGTCCCGCGGGCATAGGCCAACACTGAGGTTCGCATTTCGAAGGATTTTTAGCGGCTTGAATACATGATGAACAGTTACGGCATTTATTTTCGATATCTTTGTCCATTGACGGCCAATAAGCATAGCTACGAGCCAAAGATTTCATTTTACTGATTCCAGGATGGCCACTGTGAAACTGCTTGAGAACCTTGTGACGTAATAACTTCGGAATAACAATGCGATCACTGAATATAATACAGGAGTCAACAACCATTAGAGAGTCCCGTCGACGAAAATATTGCAAAAGTTCTCCGTCAAGGCGATTGTTTGGCCATTTGGTCAAGAGATAGCATTTAACTGAGCTCAGTATCTTATCACTTTCAGTTATCTTCTTGATAGTTTCAAAGGTTACTGGGAGTCCATTAACTGCGTCATCCAACACGCGATGAACTTCTTCCTCGGCTTTTATATTTGCTACAAGAGTCTCCTCCGGGGTTTTCGATTGAGAGCCTATTAATCTCGACAATGCGTCAGCTTGTCCGAAAGCGGTAGTAGACTGATACTTGATCTTGAAGTCGTACCCCAGAACTGTGGTTGCCCATCGTTGGAGTCGGTTAGCTGTATGAACAGGGATTCCTTTCTTTGACCCAAAAACTGCAAGTAGTGGCTTATGGTCTGTTATTAGGGTAAAATGTCGACCATATATCATCTTGTGGAAATTTTTCACTGCAAAGATAATTGATAGGGCTTCTTTCTCGATTTGGCTATAGTTCCTTTCGGTCGTTGTCAGAGATCTGGCAGCGTGTGAGATAGCTTTTTCAGACCCATCAGGAAAAATGTGAGAGATAACTGCGCCCACACCATAGTTAGAAGCATCTGAAGCGACGACTATCAGTAGAGAAGGATCATAATGTGTCAATAAGAGATCGGAAGTTAGGAGTTGCTTGATTTTCTCAAAAGATGCTTGGCAGTTACTGTTATCTACCATTGAGGTATCATGCTTTAAGTTTACTAACCTTTGACACTCAGTAGTCACTTCTTGCAGGGTCATGTTAGGGCAGTGTTCGAGTTTGCTTAGGAGTCTGGTTCGGATATCGGCATCTTCGGGTGAACGCAGGCTGCAGATAAACACTAAGCATTTAAACTGATCTTCAGACATGGACGCCAATCTAAACCTCTCACATTCTCGGTTCAAAGTTCCTGCATGCTTTACCCAATCATCTCCTGGTTCTTTTGTTAACTTTAAGCATTGGTAACGGATATTAAATAGAGATGATTGTTCTCCGAATATTTGGGACAGGGTTTTGACTGTATCATCAAAACTAAAATCTCGTGGGTTCTTCGGAAGAATGAAGTTGCTATAGCGTTCATGTTCCATAGTCCCAAGTTTTCTAAGAAGTATTCTGACTTTTGAAGCATCATCCAGTTTGCAAAGATCAATATAAAACAAATCTTCATACTTCTTAAACCACGACTCGAAAGTTACACCTGCTACACCATCAAAATTAATTTCATGGATGGCGTTAATGACTGAATCAGTATGTGATACTTGAGATTCACTAGAAGCAGGGTTTTTCTCGGACAGGCAGAATTTCTGCATCAGGGTTTCCATGATTCTAATTTGGGACTCTTCAAACCTCTTTTCTGGACGCACCATATAAGCTTCTAATTGCTCCAAGGAAATATTCATTGAAGTTTTCATCCCCGTCGCCACTGATAAGTCGTGTAGGTTGAACGCTATATACGGTTCCTAAGCTATTTCAGTAACCCGCAGTCTAGAACTACACAGCGACTTGAACTCCAGAGAGAAGACACAAGAATGAGAGAAGGCACTTTATTCCAAGGTTCATTT